CATTTAGAATTTTCACCACCATACTTCCAAATAGGTAGAAGAAAGTTGCTGAAGTGGGAAGGTCTGTATACACTACTCCCAGGAGCCAACTCCATTCACCCCTCTGCCTTTTCCAACCCACAGGGCAATTCACAAAAAAAGTAGGCAGCCAGTGAACTTGGCTTCCAGAGAGATCACCATCTGTTTTTCTACCTCTAATAAATAAAGTACGTCTGCTCTATAAATTCACATTGCTTGTGGGACTAAGGCCTAGAATGAAAATGGAGATAGAATTTGTGTTCAATTTTAGTGGGTTTTGAAAAAATTTTCGTGGGTAGCAAGTTTATGATGTAAGAATGTATGTGCTGCATAAGTCTGAATTTGATTGGATTCAAATAATGCTACCATGTCCTAAAATCCTGAGCATTATACACTTTCCAAATGTACAGTGTCATCAAGGTTTTATGACATTTCCTACAAAAACTCAATAGTCAGGTAGCACTTCATCAGTTACAGTTTAAATTCAGCTTTGGGAACAGAAAACTAGGGTTGCAGCATGAAAACTGTACCACTCTTCTGATTTTGGTGTCATAGCCCCACAGGAATATTCCACTAAACACTTCATACATGTACACTTTTGTCCCCTAAGAGAACTCCATATCTTGGAATTACAGAGTAAACCCCAAAGTATGATGGTAGGGCCAAAAATCCATGCTAGATGATCTCTGTCTTCCTATGAAAGCTTCATCAGAGATGCTCCTCCACCTGGGGTTTTCTGTTTATTTAGTCTCACTTCCTTCTTCAAGTGACGAAATGCTTAGAGCATCACGTCCATGCCTGTCTACATGGCTTACGGAGCACACAAGACTTCTGAGGCCCAGAGCTCTGAAGGCAAAGCTGACATATATGAAATGTAAGCCTAGCTTTGCCAGGTTAAATGTGGCCAGGAAAGGAGCATACCTAGTTCTATTGGCATCAAAACAGGGTTGCAAAAGAGTCTATGAGAAAGAAATATTAAGTAATAATGCATGTCTGACACTGACATGATCTTATTATTCTTGCATGCCAACATACCCTAATCCAAAGCTTATGCTGTTCCAATCCAAACCTGCCCTAAAACAGCCAATTATGTTGAATGTAGTTTAAGCTCCAAGGAGTCTCCAGACTTAAAGACAATGTTTCATTAGCCCATTCGTTTTTGTATTATTTATACATTTTGAGTCAGTTTCTAAATCATATGCACCACTTCTCTAGGGATTACTTCTCTTTCACATTGCAGGTATAATAGAGCTCCTGCAGCTTTGCTATGTTGCCAGTGCTTTTATTTCCTCCCCAAATGTATCGGTAAGCTTGGTTTAAAAACCTGAAGCTGAGAAACCTCTCCAAATAAACATGAAACATTTCCAAACCCATTATCTACATGACTTAAACAACTGATATTATAATGATGTTACCAAAAGGGGCCATAATATACAACTGACTTTGTTCTAGAACTTCTAAACTAGTTCCCAAATTTTGAGTCTGGCTGTGGAGGAAAGTTTAAAATTCTGCAAAATATTTGCATTGGCAAAAGTGGCCATTTGCCACTTAACCATTGAAAGTGTCATCCCAAAATATTCACGGAGAAAACTGTTATCATTTATTCCTCAAGAATGAGTGCACTTAGTCTCAACTCCTGACAAAAAAAAACAAGGGTGATATTTTTCCTCAATTCACTCTCATGCCTGGTGTCATCATACTAAGTGAAATCAAAAGAAAAATGAGGCGTATTCTCTTAATTTACATTATTTTATTATATATTCCCAAAGACAAAAGATACTTATATCTAGGCTATATGGCCTTAGGCAAACTTACCATAAGCCTCAATATTCCTCAATTCCTTAGATTAATAATTAAGCCCATCTCACCAGGTAGTGGTCAAGAGTAAGTAAACAGTGTTTGTAACAAGCACTATTTACATGAGTAAACAGAGTATCCAGCATACAGTGCTCAATATAAGTAAGTTCAATAAATGTAAACTTTTGTTATTATTTGCAGCTGGAGATTTTCAATGAAAATCTTCTTTCGAATCCTTAGAACATGCTCCCAGACCTGCTGCTATCTCTGTGTTATTCCCACCTACCCTAGACAGCCCCTTTGATTCAAGGTCCTTAATAATCTCTGCTCAGCTCTCTTCTAAATTTCTGTATCAGTTAGCTTGTGCTGCGAGAGGAGAGTCCAATGACCATGACCTTGTCCATGAAGATCTCTACTTATCATCTACAAGTGATATCATAATCATATTGCCAGAAGGGGCCATAATGTACAACTAGCTTTGTTAGAACTTCCAAACTAGTTCCCAAACTTTTGAGTCTGGCTGTGGAGGAAAGTTTAAATTCTGCAAAATTTGTTCATGAAGATATCCATAGAAATGAATTAATAATACAATTCATCAATCACCAACATCCTGAGCAGTGTCTCTACTTTTAACTCTTTGGTAAAGTCTCTATAATTTGGTTTAATTCTAACTTTGTTTTTAAAATGTGATAGGCACTATTCTGTACATGAATGTACCATTTAGGTTCTGGCTAACCCTAACAGAACAGGAAGAGACTAACTGGCTCTCAGAGTTTAAGAAAGATTAGAGAACTCATTAATGAAAAGTCAAAAGCATGGCAATATCCTAATAGATATTAGAATGCATTGATAATCTCATCACAGCCTCTGCACTGAAACAAATGAACGCCAACTATTGTCATCATCTTTGCATGGCTCTGTCCTTGAATCAAATTCACAGGAATGAGTCTCCTGGCAGCAGTGGGTGAGCATGTAATCCAACCTTGGCCCATCAAATGCTCCTACCCAAGATTTTAACTCTGGAGCGAGTTCATTTATTCATTCATTCAACAAATATTAAGCATTTAGTACCTTTTGGGTACTAAAGATATGGGGAAAAAGTCTATCCTTTTGGAATTTATATTCTAGTAATATGAATGAACTATATATATGTATGTATATTTAAATATATATTTATTTATATATTTAATATACATTATGTCAATTTAAAAAATATATATATACACACACATTTGTCAGATGGTAAAGAGCTCTACTTAAAACAATAAAACTGGATGAGAGAAGATAGAGGGCAGGAATGTGGGTGGTTATGTGATTTTATGCAGGATGGACAAAAAAGGCCTGTAATAAAGCACAATTTGAACAGAGACCTGAAAGAAGCAAAGGCATGAGCCATGTGGCTATTTCGAGCAGTTCTGCCAATAGGAACATAATGTGAGTCACATAGGTAATTTTAAGCTTTCTAGTAATCACACTAAAAAAGTAAAAAAAAAAAAAAGGTGAAATTCATTTTCTTAACCTAGTTTACCTGATATGTCCAAAATATTTTCATTTCAACACATAATCAATATAAGGAATTATTCATGAGAGATCTTTCATTTTTTCATAAGTCTTCCAAATCTGATGTGCACTTTACACTTGCAGCACATCTCAGTCAAGGCCTTAATCGCTGCTTGTGGCTCATGCCTACCATAACGGGCAGCACTGGTTCAGAATGAGAGTGTCCCCGTAAAGACTACGGCAAATGCCAGGTACCAAGAGAGCATGCCTGACATATCTGCGGAAGAGCACAAAGGCCACAGTGACTGATGTCATGTGAGCAAAGGGGAAGGTGGTGAGACAGGAGGCCAGACTGGCCAGAGGGAGCCTAATCCTGCAGGGTGTCCTGGGCCCTTGCAAGGACTTCCACTGTTACTCTGAGTGACGATGGAAGCCAATGGTGGTGGGGACAGCTCCATGGGCCTCTGACCTGTGCAGCTGCACAGGACCCCATGCTTGGTTTAATGCTCTGATGTTACTATCCTGAAATTCTCAATTTTGGGACAGGGGTTTCACATTTACATTATGCAACGGACGCTCCCCCACCCTCAAAATTATGTAACTGGTTGTGACTGGAGAGTTTTGATCAGAGAGTGACATGAACTGTTTTATGCTTTACAAGGATTAATCCAGTTTCTGTGTTAAGAATAGGCTGTAGGAAACATGAGGGTGAATGCAGGAAAAACACCTGAAATGCTGTTGATCAACACTAGGTGAGAAATGATGACAACAGGTGACACCAAGAGCAGGGGCCAGTTACTTCCATTTGCTGCAGCTGCAGCAGAGCACCTGACAACACTCCTGTGGAGAGCAGCATCCAGGCCAGGGGCTCCTGCTGCCCACCACTGATTTCCACCTCGTTTCCACTCTGGTCATCTGTTCATCTGAGAGCCATGTATCTTCCCAACACATTTTATTTTATTTTTTGTAAAAGAGCAGCCACTGGTTTCTCTTCTCACCTCCCCTTTTACTAAGAGAGGGCAGAATACTCAATGGTCCCACTAAAACTATATACAGTAGCAAATAGGAATGCTCCAAAAGAAAATCAGGGTCTTATCGCAAAATCAGGGTCCCCTACAAGGGAGAAAATGAGCTGCTAAAGGAAGGAAGGAAGGGTCCTAATGAGGTAGAGCATCTTCTGTGTTACATCACTGTGGCTGGAAATTATTATACATTCTTTCCATTGATTTCAATTAAGTAATGGGTATAAAACATTAGCCCTCCCTCCAAAAAATCTTCGTGGGCTTCACGGGATAGGATCTACTATAATTTATGTGAATATAAAATGTATCTAAATACATTCAGGACCTACAAAATACTTGCTAACTCTCAGTAAGGAAACAGAAAAAAATTAACCTTGGGGACCATTTGTTATTTTGGATTCGTATCTAAATTTGTACAATTATCTCTATGTTTAAGCTGGCGAATAAGAAATAATCATCACTGTTTAGTTTCTAGGTAATCAAATAGAAAATTCATTAGGTGATGCTAATACTGACATGACACAACTACCAGTAAGGAAATCAGCCTACACTTCCTAATCCAAAATTCATAAAAGACTGAGTATTTTCCATGTGCTCAACATTTATCCAAAATGACAAAACATAGATGATACCCCACTTGAAGGGCTTATGTCAGCTACTCACCTTTTTCTGAAGAACATTAATTTTTCTTTCCTTCACTTCTAACATATCTTTCATGTCACGAATCTCACCAGCCAGTGTCCCCTTCTCTTCTGTGAGGTCCTGCAGCTGCTTTGTTTTTTTATTGAGGAAAGATTCTTTTTCTTCCAGTCGTAATCTCAGTGCATCTACCTAAATTAGGAAAAAGACAGAAGGTTGTGATTTTACAAAAAGGTCATCAATAACCATCAGTCCTGCCCTTGGAGTGGGGAGGGTAGCAGCAAGTTTCCTGAGCAAGGCACAATGGAACCACTGCTCATGGCACCTCACTGCCCTGCATTTTAACAGCCTACATCCTTCTTACAGCCTTGTTGTGTGTACATCTCAATAGTGACACTTTTTTAAAAATAAGCCTTCTATGAAATAAGACATTATGAAATAGTAGTAGGTTTCCATGTTTGTTTCCCCTCTTATGGGAAACAACATGTTTGTTTAAGCTGGGAAACAAAGCACATCAATATTGCCAAGTCTCTGAGAGCCCAGGGAGGGTAAAATACTGCTCAAGCTTTGCAGTATCCTCCAGGAATACAGAGAACACAATGAGCCATGCCATGGACATCTGGAGGAACAAGATTGACATGTAGAGAAACACTCCTAAATTAGAAAAATACATGTTGCCAAGAGGACACTCATGCTACTGGAGGAAGAAAATAAGATAGAAATGAAACACCCATTCTCCAGCCTCATGAAAGACGGCTTTCCAAATACTTTAAAAAAAAAAAAAGACAAAGCATACAAAAAAATTTCCCCATTGTAGCTCAGCTCTAAAATTTAAAAATATATAATTCCTGCTTTTCAAATGTTAATAAGAAAGTATGTTTTATTTTTTAAATTTAACATTCTGAAGACCATGTACAAAGAAAGGTCTATTTCTACACTACTCAGACTAGATTATAGAAAAAATCACCGAAGTGGTTAAAAAAAAGCGGGGGGGGAGAGAGAGAGGGAGACGAAAAGAATATGAAGACCATCAGAATGCCATTTTGAGTTAATTTACTACAGCCTTTTAAAATTGTACTTTTTTGATATATAAGACCATACTTACAACTGTGTTTATAAATGTACACTAATCCAGTCTTAAAATGCAACTGTGTCAAACATTTTATTTGAAGGATCATTGTCCTTAATTATTGACAATGACAGACTATGAGATTTCCAAGGTACTTATTCTCAGCTAAACTATGACATTCAATATGTTACTCCTAAGACATTTACTTTTTTTATTGGATATACATTTAAAAAAGATCAGGAACCTTTGCCACAATTATTTTGCTGCCACTTCAGCAGATACTACTGTTATGGTCTGAATGTGTTGCTCAAATTTCGTAAGTTGAAATCAAATCCCCAATACAATAATATTAAAAGGTGGGGCCTTTAGGAGGTGATTGGGTCATGAGGGAAAAGTACATCAAGAATGGGACTAATTCCTTTGTAAAAGAAGCCCAAAGGAGTTCATTCACCTCTTCCCCCATGTGAGAACAAAGCGGGATGGCACCATATCTGAAGCACTGATTGATCCCTCATCAGACAAGAAATCTGCTGGTGCCTTGATATTGGATTTTCCAGCCTCTGCAACTGTAAGATATAAATTTATGTTGTTTATAAGCCACCCAATCTAGGTACTTTGTTCTAGCAGCCTGAATGAACTAAGACAACCACCATGATTTACTTTTTTCTGGATTATCAAAAACACCTCAATTTGTGATTATATGTCAAAGCCGGTGTTAGAACCATCCAGGAACTAACTCTTCAAGGACCAGTCCTGATCCCTTTGGGAAGGAATGTATGAAGTAACTCTTTGTTAGTATCGTTGATGTAGAAAAGGAAGATACTATGTTCACTACAACAAATCAAAATTAAATAAGACCATATAGAACAGGGGTCCCCAACCCTCAGACCAGTTCCAGTACAGGGCCTGTTAGGAACCAGGCTGCACAGCAGGAGGTGAGTGTCAGTCAAGCATTACCACCTGAGCTTTGCCTCCTGCCAGATCAGCAGTGGCATTAGATTTTCATAGAATATAATGAACTAGCTCTCTCACATGTGCAGTTCCAAGAGTGTTCATGCTCCTATGACAGTCTTATGCCTGATGATCTGGTGTGGAACAGTTTCATTCCTAAACCATCCCTGACACCCAACACCTCCTCATCTGTGGAAAAACTGTCTTCCACAAAACCAGTCCCTGGTGCCAAAAAGGTTGGGGACTGTTAATATAGAGAATCTAAAAGACATGTCCACAAAATGATTTTTATTGAGATGCTCATACCAGCATTGCTCATAATGGATCACCCAGGGAATAACACAAATGTCTATCAGCAAATGACTGGATAAATAAAATGGTAGTATATTTATATGGAATACTCTCTATTCTTAAAAAGGAGTGAACTGCAGATACACACAGTAACAAAGGTGAATCTCAAAAGCATCCTGAAAGAATCTGGAGGATTTATTGCACAATTGTGTTTCCACTTCTGTGAAATTCTAAAAGAGGTGAAACTAATCTATGGTGACAGAAGTAAAAGCAACAGTTGCCTGGGGTGGAAGGTGGGAAGGGCTGATTATAAAGGGACAGGAGATATTTTTGGTTCTCTAAATTGATTAGGGAGAGTGGAGAACATGGTATACAGAATTGTCAAAACTCATTGAACTGTATAGTTTAATAATTTATACTTTGACAGTTATAATTTATATTTTAATGAATTTGAAAAATATATGAATATACAACTAAGAATTAACAAACATCTTACAACAATGTTTTTCATGAAAGAGAGAAGTCAAAACAAAACACCAACCTGGAAACTAAATTATCTTATAACTGGGAGAATGAAGTGGGGGTTAGATAAGGTTCACATGAGTGATGAGGTATTGGGGTGATAGAAGGGTTTAGTCTTCACCTTCCATAGCAGGAAGATAATAGACAGTAGCTACACCAGCAATCAGGAAGTAGAGAAGCAAGCATGTTATTTAGAGATATCAAAATAACCAAACAACAAGAGTTAAAAGGGTTTGTCTTGGGGAAGAAAAAAATCAAAGTAGAGGATTGCTATATCTCAAAACAGAAATTTTCAAACATTTTGCTTCCTTATCCTATAGGCAAGTAAAATTTGAATGGAAAGAAAAAAAGACAAAATAAATAAAAAACAAAAATGATACAAGAATGCCATAAGAAACCAGTAGAAGATATACAAATAGCCAACAAACATATGAAAAAATGCTCAACAACACTAATTGTCAGGGAAATGCAAAATAAAACCACAGTGAGAGTCCATCTTATCGCAGCCAGAATGACTAATATTGAGAAGTCAAAAAACAATAGATGTTGGCATGGATGTGGTGAAAAGGAAAGGCTTATATACTGCTGGTGGGAATGCAAATTAGTAAAATTACTAAAACCTACGTGGAAAACAATATGGAGATTTCTCAAATAACTAAAAGTCAGTCTACTACTCAATCCCACTACTGGGTATCTACCCAAAAGGAAAGAAGTCATCACATCAAAAAGATACCTACATGTGTATGTTTATCACAACACAATTCACAATTGCAAATATATGGAATCAACTTAAGTGCCTATCAAAGAATGGGCAGATAAGAGTAAAGTAATATATATACACATATATAGTATATTTATAGCTGAGTATTCATATATATGAATATATATGTGTGTGTGTGTGTGTGTGTGTATATATATATATATATATATATATATATATATATATATATGTAAATTATTTGGTGTCAAGAGGGAGAGAAAAATACTCCATATACCCAACATGGCAGGAGGGATCCTGTGCCAGCTGAGTATTCACATATATATGAATAAAAAAAGAATGAAATAGTCTTCTGTAACAACCTGGATGGAATTGCAGGCCATCATTCCATGTGAAGTAACTCAGCAATAGAAAACCAAATACTACATGTTCTCACTTGTAAGTGGGAGCTAAGCTCTGGGTACACAGAGGCCTGTGGAGTGGTATAATTGACACTGGAGACTCAGAAGCAGGAAGGGTGTGAGGAGGATGAGGTATAAAAAAACTACCTGCTAGGTGCAAGGTACACTACTCAGGTGATGGGTACACTAAAATCCCAAACTTCACCACTATACAATTTATCCATGTAACCAAAAACTACCTATACTCCTAAAGATACTGAAATTTAAAAATTAAAATAAAGAAAAGTTCAGGGTAGCAGAAGGCGGCATTTGAAAGAAAAAAAGAAGAAGCCAATAGGAACAATAGAAAGAGGACACTTAGGTTTTTAGGACTCGTTCTGTTTTTATCTGACTGAGAGGATCAGGGCAGATAACTCTCCCTTCCCCTGCCGCATCCTTCCAGCCTCAGTTTCTCCATCTATAAAACCAAGAGATGTGAATAAATCATACCTGACATCTTAGGATTTTTAAAGGCAGGAATCCATTTTTGGTAGAATGAATCAGGGAAGGATAATGATATTAGAGATAAAGAAAAATTACTGGAGTAGAATATCCTCTTCTAAAGGTCAAAGGTGACAGGGAGTGGGGGAGTAGAGTTTTTCCAGTTTCTGCTCCAGTGAAAAGGATGAAGCTGGCTGGGAGGTCCCAGTAGGGGAAGGGGTGATCACAGATGTGTGAAGCCCCCAAGCCCTAGTGGCCCTGACTACATTACAAGAGAGGGTGGACATTCTGTGACTAGAGAGGAGGAGAATGACACATTCTTCAAATATCTGATAGCTGTGCCCCTTCTCACATAATGGCCAGAAAGATATAGGGCCTTGGAAAGTGGAGGGGTACTCATGTCCTGGGGATCTTCCCCTTCCTAAATGAAAGTTCGTGCCAGGTGCACTAAAGATGAAGCATCCCAGATTCTCATGTGGCTCATCTTTGTTTAAAGTTACCTTCATCTATCAACCTGGCATAACACCACTAATTCTCTTTGGGTTTTCATTATATCTGGTGAAAAATATGATTTTGAGTTTATGCATAAAGCATAGGCATTTGGTGGACGATTGGAAAATTGGCAGAACATGCTAAGCACTCTGGATTACAGCAGTGGTTATAAAGGGGTTACAATCCATTGTAGATATTTGCACATGGGCTTACTGGGACTCAGTGTGATTCTGAGAAGAAACACATGACTGAGGTCCCATTTGCTCTG